CTACTGCTACTGCTACTGCTACTTCCTACGACGACTACTACTTCTACTACTACTTCTTCTTCTGTTTGAAATACCTCTATTTCTACTGCTACTACTACGACGACCGACGACTACTGCTAAAATTTCTATTTCCCTTCTACTATATACTTCTACTGCTTCCAGTTCGTGGACCGCATTGTTCAGCTTGGTCGCTCGCTTCTTTTTCTCCAGCCACTCCTTGATTCTTTCGACCTCATTGAATGGTTGCACACGAGTAGACAGGTGCAAGAAAAAGTTGTGTTCGCTGCTCTTGTCTATTGAGGACATGTGTGAGCACAGCTGAACTCACTTGGCTAAAAGCATCAGCTAAGCCTGGCACAGAACATCTGCTTGAATTCCAGCCAAGCGACTGCTTTCACATGTCGAACCCTTCGGCCGTTTAGGTCGCGCATGGCATCAAAGTTCGTCGTCTTCTTGCCTGTTCTTCAGCGTTGCAATCAACATCGGGATTGTCATGGATCGTTTCGTGAACAAGAAATAGGATTAGAGATATGGGAGGAGGGGACTGCTTTTGCTGCCACGCCACCTCCCTTTTGTGACCGCAGCAAGGACCCGAAGCCGCCCTTGCCTTAATTATGCCACTGGAGCACAAAGGCTGTCGAGCGAATGCTTCTTGTCGGATTCGGAACCGCAGAACCAACCTATGGCAACCTCCCTCACGGACCCACAATACTGCACTGTTATATGAGGCATAAGCCCAAGCGGGTCGCGCTTATGCAGCTGAAGATCCACCCAGAAGACGAAACGCAATCCGAACGAAGCAAGGCCGTCCATCTTCCTTGCAGGCTGCACATCTGCACATGCACATGGTATAGACGTGGTGTTGATATGCAGGGCGCGCTTCCGTCAAGTGCTCACTCCAAAGCACAGGCTGAGCTGTATCTTGACTTGCTGTCCAGCATCAAGAGACTCCAGAAACTGCGCGGCCGTCTTCCTGAGATCAAGCCAAGAAAAGTCGACTGCAGTCGGACTCACACCACCTGCTGGGGCACCCCATCCAAGGCTTCGGTTGCGAGTTGGTTGTTGCCATCAATGCCGCATAAGTAGCTCGGACTCCAGATCCCGACCCTGGTAAAGTACGCGGTACTCCTCCACTTCGATGGATTCCTGCTATGCCAGGCCGGAGATTTTGCTGAAGGTTCTACGTCTCTGTCTGTCTGTTGTTTTGTTCGTTGGCTGACTGGCTGAAAGACTGATCGATTGCTTGCTCGCTTGCTGGGCTGATTGCCGTATTTAAATGGACCGATGGCTGCATCCATCCATCCATCTATCCACGCATGTGTGCCTGATGGTCTCACAAAGTGTATGATCTTTATCGATAGCCTTGGACTACGAATTTGGAATTTTAAACCATTCCTCGAGGTCGAGACGGCCGAATGCCGACACCAGCCCATCCTCGTCCTCAGCTCGGCGGGAGAACCGCCGGACTGCACAAGGGTTTGGGGTTTTGGATGAATTAAACTCCAAGCGAACAGAGCATTTAAGCGAACAGAGCCTTGCCAGCTTAGTCAAGCCGCATCGTCGCTGGAGGTGGCCGGCCTGGTATTGATCACTGGCTACTCACTTGTCTCAGAAGCATGCAGGGACTTCCGGGCAATGGCCTGTCAGCGAAAGGAAGCGCTTTGGAACAGATGGCTTCGAGGTTGGGTAAACCCCTTCAATCAGAGCCACCATCCATCATTCAGAAACTTCTTGTAACTTGTAACACATGATGTGGGATGCAAGACCGCTTGACTAGCTGACTAGCTGACCCAAATCGGCGACACCAAAATCAGACGATTGTCTTGAACGGGTCTTGAACACCGGCTCGGCCTCCGCGCAAAAAGCTCCGCGTCAAGGAAGTGCCGAAGAAGCTCTGCGGTTTCCAAGGGGCGCCCGAGAAGCCTGCAGTGTGTGGCACGTGATCGTTCAAACACACCACTCAAGTGGGGGGTGTGCAGCGGACGGGGACACCGACGGACACGCACCTAGACCGGCAGACAGACAGACAGACAGACAGACAGCTCCACAGGGGCACCCGGAGACAGATACTACAGAGACACGCCAAACACAGAGACACACTCAAGCTAAAACCTGGCAGGCGTCCCGAAGAAGCCATCAACCAATGCTAGTTGGCACCCAAGCACAGCCAAGCACATTTCGTGTGATTCGACACGTGGTAACTAAAATGTACCCACCGTCCAGCTAAGGCAGACGGAGAAAAAAACACTGGGGATGATAATTAATATGACTAGAAACAACAGTAGTTTTGCTGATAAACTGGCGATAATGCTTCTCCTGATCATGGTAACCTTACATGTGAATAAGCGGTCCCTGCCTGACGTTTATTTATGAACACCCGGAAAGGTCGTAGGACGGACAGCACCTTCCACTGAAACCTTGCCAAGGGGCGACGGCTCCACTGGGACGAAATGAGAGGTGCCACCAGGCAGCTGGGCGATCACCCCCGCCATGAGAGGCAGGACCTCAGGCAGGTAAAAGCTGCAGGAAACAAATTAAGAAGCCCAGGTCTTTCCGAGGTGCCACGGCCGCTGCAGGGGGCGGCGTGAGGCTCGGGGCCCGGGCCCTCTGTACTTCGAGCCCTGCTGCGGAAAGTAAGGAGTCGAGAAGAGATGCGCTTGTGACAGTAGCAATCCTGACCGGCGACTACACTTTATCGTGTCCTGAGCAAAGGCCCAAAAAAGCCACAAGAGCCGCCATGTCTGAACGCATCAAAGCACACAAGGCTTGCAGCCTCCATGAGCATGTGGCTACAGGAAACGCCGAATACATGTTGGAACTCCCAAGCCGCTTTGAATGCCCAAATCCGAACCCGCCACCTCGCGCGCGGGTGCACGTGCTTCCTGACAAAGCTGTGCAGCTGCCACAGCTCTTTATGAGTCCTTTTAGTGGCATTACACGCGGGGCATTGACTGCCCCAGAAGGCATGAGTTATACAGTTAACTATGCTCAAGGGGGCAGGACCGACCTTAATCCGTCTTCTGAAACTCGGCCTCGCGAGGTGGAGCTCGGCGAGGACCTTCGTCAGCGGGCTTCTCCTCACACAGTCATTTGGCTCGATCCAGAAACAGCTCTATTGAGAAATCCCGGGTAGTGCCACCCTGGCCACCTAAATGTCTTAATTGTGGCGCTACGCCCACACCACTGAATTTGGGCTTGGGGAGGAGGTGGAAAAGGTGAGCCTTGTGCAAAGCCTTTCTTCAGACCGGGGGTGCACAGAGGATCGGAGGCTTTTGGCGCTCTGCAAGGCAACCCACGGTCCATTTTCAGCCAGTGGCCCTCTTACCTGATGAGTGTCCTCTCGGCGAGAATCAGAACGGCGAAATCCACCATCCTCCTTTTCGAAAATGTCAGGTCTGACGGCTCCCCTTTGCCAGACCTATCCAACGGTCCTCGCGCTGCGACCCCTGCCTTCTCGGAGCCTCGTCCTTGGCACGGAATGGCACGGAATGGCTTCGCCCGAGAGTTCAGTGGACTGAGGGCTCCCACGCGCCGCCAGCTGTCGGCGTTCTCGGTGCGGCCTCCAGCCGGTCGGCGCCAGCTCCCTGCCCGCACTCGCTTCAGATAGTCCCGCCGGCTTTGATGAAGCTTCGCAGACCCCGCGGCAACTGGTACTCTTGGGGTTGTTTCGCAAAGGTGTCGAGGGCAGCGATTTTGCTTGTGTTAGTTCATCGTTTCAATCAGATGTGCATGAAAAGATCATGCAAGCCACATGCCGGACTGACGGCCAGCTTGTGACTTGATCGGAGTTGGGAAATGGTTGTCAAATCGATGTAACCGACGGTCCCAAGTGAGAGGACAGGGAGAATAGTGAAAGACTTCACTTTTGCTCACCGGGAATATCCTTGGTCGCATTGTTTTATTAGGACCAGTATTACAGACAGGATCTGGAGTTGGCTCCAAAAGCCATTTGCGCAAGCTCGAACCCTTCCCACAACTTCCAGTTCCTCAACCTCATAACACCCCGTATGTATCCATGTGTTTGAAGCGCCGCCGCAGCTGAGGGTGACTCCAGTTCCCTTTGCCTGCATCATCATCGCCGCCACGGCCGCCGCCACTGCCCTTTCCGCCTGGCAACACTAGAGAATCGATTTACATCCGCGTGTCGCAGCTGTGCAAGGCTTTGGCCCCGCAGAAGAGCGCATCTCGTCAAAGCTCTGTCGATGACCGGGCAGCGGCCTGCAGCGGCTCTTGGCTCCTCCCGCTCCTCACGGCCCTCGCCCTTGCGTGAAGGTCGCCAAGGGCCTGACACAGAAGCCCAGCGTGGCATCAAGCGCATAGCGTCAGGAATCATGACTGTCATGACTCTATGATATCTATGATCTTTTTTCTTTTCGCCGTCTCAGCCTGGGTTTTCTCCGTCACGGCCCTCGCCCTTGGAGCGGGAGGGTCGCCACGGCTCCTTGCCTGGAGCTTTGGAGACTGCAAGCTTGAGTCGCCGATCGAAGGTTTTCTCGCGTATGAATCAACCTCTCCCTGTCATGTCAATCTAGAGTCCAAAGCGACAGGTGTGCCAAAAGCATCAGCTGAGGTCGCGTGCGTTCGGGGGCGGCATCTCCCCTAGCATCTCCCCGAGGCTCCTGGGCAAGAAGCATGAGGATCTCTGGTTCGAACCCGTCGTCTTCCAACTTTTCCTGTCACAGCCTATGAGAAGGCAGAGCGGCTTCCATTACTGTAAACAGGCTTCTGACAAATCACTGGGGAGGCCATGTTGCATGCTATTTCGGTCAGTGGCCTTGAGACCTCGGAACCTCGGGTCTTGCAGGGGTTGGTACAGCAGGGGCTCCACGATCTTCCAGAAAGAGACCCAGCTGGACATCACGCCTTGAATGCGACAAGGAGCAGCCTCAACGTTCCGAGGGTCGGACATCTGCATTGGGCCGGCGCCAATTGTCCTCGTCGGCACGGGTTTGCGGGTTCCTGCGGTGCACGAGCAAAAACAGCAATGCAGCTTGTCTCCATCTCCGTGTCTCAGTTTTCCTTGGTCCGCAACTCCTACGCCACAGTCTCAGAATGCCTTCCACCAGCATTTCCACCAGCTGGGCGGCGCGGGCCGTCCTGCACAAGCTATGCTGCCCAGAAATGGAGAAACCAGCGATGCCACTGCCTTTTCAATGGTAATCAGCAATCACCCAAGAACCCCCAGCCTCGGCTGGCTCTCCTCTCTTGCGCCAATCGTCACGGGAACTGAACAGGCGGCAAGCGGATGGCAAATTTCGCGCGCTACTCGAGCTGAGTCCACTCGGCCACTAGGCTTGAGACCGCGTACTCGCACGAGGCAGGCTTTAGAATCCAGGGACAGGGGAGGCTTGGAGATGTGAAAGTCATCTGCCAAAGGGGAGCAAGAGAAAGGCGAGAAAGGTCACTGAAGTGGCCAGCTCGGGGTGCAAGCTGCAGGCCTGGTAACCTCGCCACCTCCTCCCGCTCCGGGTCGTCGCCAGCTGTCGCCTCGCTCCAGGGGCAAGCCAGGGAGGCAACAGACTCGGTCTGATCCCGACCAAGTCACATTGGGTCTGATTCGGAAGCTACGAATCTACAGATAGAAGTGTGCAAGTGTACGTAAACACTGGGATGCAGCTAATTAGCGATTTGTAGCGAGAATCTCTCTTGAGGAGGGGTGGTAGGGGCTTTGATACCCGTAGTAAGGACCTAATGAGGCTTATTCCAGCACTCACAACTGGTACAACTATGGTCCCCTACCCCCCTCCCCCTTACCCCCTTATGAATCTCACATGACATGCTCTGCGCTATCCACCCTTTGCACTATCGTGTGCGCACTGCTTTTTTTTCAGTATACATCCAGCGTGGCATCCTGCCGTTGGAACTTGGGGGGAAGCCTCGACTTCTGCGATCCCCATGGCAGCATGCATGCTCATTGTCATAACGGAGCCTTGAAGACCATAAAGCGCCTGGCCGACGTGGTCTTTCCGTCCTTTTCGCCCAAATCAACTCTGCTTGGGACAGCCCAAAGAACGTCGGACGTGGCGCCCTCCTTTTGGAGGATGCGCTGGTTGGCCCGGAAGATCGACTTCATGATGCGGTTCACACAGCTCGGCCCCACACCCTGAATGGCCACCGCGCCCCGCTCTTCAACCTCAGCATTGTACACAGAGAGTAAAGCGGCGTGGACAACGCAGCAGAGCTCCGATTGCTCGCTGCTGTACTGCATGTAGCAGTGCAGCACGGGCTCCCGAAATGGTCAGAGAGCCTCCGAAAGACTAGTAGCTTTGTCGTTCCAACTCTTCCAGAATCGATAGAAGGAACGTCGTGCACGGCCTCTCTCAAAACACTGCTTTTGTCTATCTGCATTGAGCTTGATGCTCGGGTTTCGTGCTGAGTTTGCCACTCCACTGCAGGAGCAGTTCATGTTTTTACACTACCAGCCGCCGGTGTCCGGGCCAAGTCTGGTGGCGACGAGCTGCCCCCGAAAGTCTGCTCCCCCGCCTCACCCCGTGGAAGATCCTTCCTACAAGCGAGTACTTAGGGCAGGGTCCGAGCTTGCAAAAGAAGTCAAGAACAACGGTGGCGGAATCAGCAAGCAAACCGGACGAAAGTTATCAACAGCACAGTCGCACCTAGCAAATCTGCGAGCGAACATCGGAGACGACCCAGCCCGAACCGGCAAACACCAAGGAAGCGCCATGCGACGTCAGCACCTTTAACGCAACGACATGCTGCTGGAAATAGAAGTGTAGTGTAACCTTGCCCGACATTTCAACCTCACGCTCTTTCCGAGGCCAGTGACAGGCGAGGTCAGTTCAGAGCTCGGGTGAAATTTGCGTACAGCTACTTATTATGGTGCAAGAGTAGGCACTGCGTGGTCGCTCCTGTTTCATGTTTTCCACATTGACATGAACCTTCAGGCATCCTGAATGGAGCTGCCGTCTCTAACCTCGGTGGCTGTTGGCCTGAGACTTGCCGCCTCTGGCTTTCTGAAACAACGGCGTGTTTGCTAACTCGATTTGCCGACACTGGCTTCGACTTGCTGACACAAGCTACTCTGGGGCACTTGCTTATCTTAATAAGCTTCGCCTTGACTTGCACTCTGTGAGCACGGGCCACGGAACAGATGCTAGGTCCATCTGCAAAGCGCTTCCCGGCGCATTTTGGGGCATACGTTTCCATGTTCGCTTCAGGTTGTCTCGGTGTTCTATCGCAACTAGCACCATCGGCAAGTCCCCCTTACGGATTTCGAAAGAATAAAAGAAGAAATACATCCCAGTCTTAGGCCAGGCACGAAACGACCAAGGGCAGCGGAAGCCTGGCTCGTCCTTTCGTCGCTGGGTGCCTTGAGTAAATCCTGCTCCGCGACATCCTGCAGAGCCGCCTCTGGCACTTTCACGGGAGCCACGTGTAAACGCATACGCGTGACGTCTGAGACTGGATCTGCCAGCAGGTCTGGACGCAGTGCTAATGCTGCGCCTAGTCGTCTGAATGTTCCGGATGTCCCGTTATTCCATTCGCTTAGGAGCCATGCGACCTCGATGCCGTAGTAGACACTGAGTGCTCCCACACAGTCCAGCTCAACTTCCCCTGCTTTCTGGAGAACTGAACTGGCTCTTTTCGTCATTGGCCACCATGTGCTATTTTTGCCCTTAATGGGAAAACTCCGCTCAGTTTTACTGTACACGGGGTACATGGGCTCGGAGTTTTCTGCATCTTCCGCGGCTTCCTCACTGATATCCACGGCTTCTTCAACCTCTTCTGCCACAGCACGGCGCGGAGCTCTTCTGGCCTCGGTATGTCGTGCTAAGGTCTACGGTCTGACTTACATGCGACCACACGAGTAGCTCAACAAGGCGAAAGAAACATAGCCAAGAAACCTGCATGTGCTGGCATGGCGGCCGACCGACTGTAAAGACGAGCCCAAAGTTGCCTTGCAAAGACAATGTCTCGAGATGCCTACGCCTTTCACGAGGCTTCACTCGCCACCTACTCTTAATATCTCTTATTCTCTCGTAACTTGCGGCGCCTCGTTGTGAGATCATTAGCCTCAATGCCAGCACCACTATCACGCCGAGGCAGGCTTTTCCTCCGCAGCATATCAAGCATGCCGCATGCCTGTCTCATTCCTTCGAGTTTCCTAGGTGTTAGTGTGTATACCACCAGCCCCCGCAAACGCAGGGAACCATCGACACGTAACCGATATGACAACCGGTGCATCTTGGAGGGATAGACTGAAGATCAGATCTGCATCGAAGCGCTGACTGGTGACTTGCATGTGGAAACCATCCGACACTGGGACAAGTTCCAGCCAAGCCTCGAACTGGACTTCTCTTGTCCATCTTGAGAAAAAACTGCTATTCCTTCCTTGAATAATCCTAAATGCCTGCGGGAGGCTTCAGTGATGCACACTAGCCGAAGGTTTTCAGGAGAAGGGTGGCTTCCTAACCAGAGGCCGGTGCCAACATGGCAGAGTCTTCCGGCAGCTTGAGCATCCACCCGCTGGGGGTGTTTGGGACAAGCACTCTCCCGACCTCCAGCAGCAGCTCCTCCACCGCCGCCCCCTGCACGTCGGTTTGCCGCCGCGGCCTGGACCAAACCGGCTCGGTAACGCACACCTTCAAACTTCACGATTCGAACTCCTGGTAGACGTGTTGAATGTGCCTCGCGCTCATTGCGCTCATTGGCCTGCCTCTCTTCAATCTCGCGCTCCTGGCAGGTGGCTCGATGCAAAGAATAACTCCCATCCAAGACAAAAAGCATCTTCGATTGCACTCTCTGCCGACCGGACCTCTGCGTGTTCGATTTCACTCGTGACTCAAGCCCAAGGATGTCCAAAGCCCATTGAACATGCATCATCAATCTGGGCTTGCTGGCACGCTCTCGGCGCTTTTCTTCTGCTCGCTCGCGACCTCAGCTCTCGAAAACTTGGCTTGTCTGCTAACAAACAGCTCGATAGCATTCACAAGGGATTTGAGCACATAATTCCAAACGACAGGTGCCTGAACATAAGTGATCGATCCTGCGGCGGCCGGAGTCAATCTCTGAACTGAGTTGCGTGCGTTCCTCGTCTTCTTTTCGGCGAGCTTCCTGCCAGCTGTGACTCTCACACTTTCACGGCTAGTCTCCGCTCCCATCTGTTAAGTTTTAGGCAATCTCTCTCGACAAGCAGGCGAGGTTTGAGGCACCTTCATGACTGCAAGCATCCAAAACTTTGTGATTGTGCTGGGCCAACCGGAACATAATTTCAGGCACTCACTGCTGCTCAAATCGAACTCCCGCCGAAGCTTCTGGCATCGAGCCCGCATACCCAGGCAAAGGCCGGGAACCCTAAAGCTGTCCTCGAGAGCACGCTTCTCCTCTCTCTCGCGCTTCTGGCGCTCCTGACCTGAGCCAAGGGAGACTGAGCCAAGTAGACTGAAAATTCTCGGATGTGAGAATGTGTTGCGGAAGCATGCAGAGCACTTCAGCTTTTGGACCATTTCGACAACGATGGTTCTGTCGGCAAACGAGCTGAGGAACGTCTTCGTGGCTCCGCGAGTGAAGCTTGCTTGGAGAGCGCAAAGCCAAACTGTCTCCGAGGGGTGGAGCAGGTGCGTGAAAGCTGCAGGCTGCGGGTCTCTGAGAGCATCCATCGTTGACCAGCTTTTTCCTAGCTGGACAGAGGCTCGAGGTCCTTTCTCACGTTCCCGATGGCTTCGGTCGAATGCTGTGCTCGAGCTCACAACTCGTAGTTCCAATGGATGGCACATTGTTCCATTCCGTGTTCACCGAAACCTTGCCAATGCTGACCATGCGAACTGTGTCGCGCATGTCAGAACTCCCTTTCCCAAACACCTGCTTCTGCAAGCTCGGCGTCATTTGCAGGAACCTGCTCCGTAGCAGCTGCACGGACAACATCAACAGCGCTGTTCGTGCTTTCGGTGCGTATGTATATATTGCGCACCTCCATCTTCACGTCTATCTACAGTTAATTTCGATACAAGTACAAGCTTGTCCAGCACAGACCAACAGAGTGCACCTCCTGATCCCCAGCCCGCTGCTTCCACTTGCGGCGGGCTTCCTTCTCCTTGGAGAAGAGCTCCTGAATCGCTGCCAACGGAACAGCAAAGAAGAAAGAACAAATCTCCCACGGATGCCCAGGCGACTGTCTGCTCTCACTGCCCTCCTGTAGTCTTGTCGCTTCCGATTTGGCAAAGTCCAACGAATCACAGAGGAGGATGTTGTCGAAAACGGAGCCCTCGTGAACCGTCCTTGTTTGTGTGGCCCCTTGTCCTTTACATTACTCGATCGTCATACAAAGATACCAGTACCACAGATCCGATATTATGCGAAGGCCAAGGGCTGTCGAAACAGATTCCAGACAGAGGGATTTGGGCAACATTGGGCAACATCGCCCTCTAATCGAAGCCTAAGCGTCCAGAGGTCGAAGCCTACCGCCCCGAGGTCAGTGTAGGAGTACACTTCCTCCTCCTTGGATGTCCGTCAAGCCAGCCCCCTACTCGAGACATCACGATAAACCATCCTGAGTCTAAGGCGTCTTACAGAGGCCTCCATTGCTACCCGAGGGTCATACTCCGGGTTTCCACGCTGCCGAGGCCTCGCAAGTCTGAGGTCTCTGGGTCGGATTGAGAAGGGCTGCGTCCAATTCCGGCATTGCGCTTACATCAGAATCAACTGCATTCTGCCGTTTCATGGTGGGGAATCCCGGCGATACGCTTTCCTTCGGCTGTTCCACTTGGCCTCCACTGACCACGAAAAGATGGATTGTCCACCTCAGCCGATGACCAATGGGGTAGCGCAGTGATGCGCAGTGCAGCAAAAGAGCATGTCAGCACAGTCTGCAGCAGTCAACTTTTGCCGAGGCACCATAGCAGGAAACCATGGCCCCTGATAAAGCGGGTTGTCGATGAAGGGCGGCTCGAACAGCCCGTCCTGGCCAGAACGAGAGAAGAGCACTAGCGGAAAAGCTCACGAGATCAAGAAGAAACTCTGGCGCGGCAAGACAGTGGCGCGCACGGCGAAGCAGCCCAATCAGCTTCATGATGCATCAGGGGAATTGCGTGGGATGCAGGAACTGGTGACGACATTGTTTGAACTGCCATGGCGCGGTTGGCCGCATTGGCCGCGGGATATTAAAATTTGCAGAGGCTCAAATTCCAGGGCCAAGTTCAGTGACCGTATCCCCACATGAGCTCGCAGTTCTACATTTCGTGCATTTCCGCAGGGAGCACAAAAGGAAGCCGACGAGCACAGCCTCGAATACCTTGTGCACCCCTACAGATTCTCATCTATGTCGCATGACCCACGCAGCCGTCCTCCTCGTCGTCCCATTCCAAAGGTTTCCATGCCGTGCTGTCCGGCACGCGCTGCTCATCCACCCAGCTTTCTGGCTTCTGTACATCCTCGGATGTCAGGAGACAACAAAGGCGGGGAAGAGCAGAGTTCTCGGACTGGTGTCTATAGGCATGCTTCCCGCCAAAACAGATTGTGAACCGCCAAGTTTCAGGATCCACAATGCGTCGCGTCTCAACCCAATCCTCCGGCTTTCGGTCGGTCGGATCGTCGATCGTCTTGTTGGGAAAAGGCCAGAAAGCATGCAATTCGCCCGAGGACTTTTCCTTCATGTCTATAAAGACGCTGTATGTGTTGTCAGGCTTCAAGTGAAAAGTGAAGATATGCGTAAAGGAGTCCCGGTCATCATACCCAAGGGAAATCTCAGGAGATCTGCGCAGGTTCTTTCCTTTCCAGTTGAAAACCAGGTGCACCACAGACGTCTCAAATCCACAAATGTCCGGGCCGAACCTGGCAAGTCGAAAACAGAGCTGGGTAAAGCTGCTGGAGCATGTCTCGACTGCATCATCAGTTCAACAATCATTTGCTTCAGGATAAGGCCCCGTGAGAAAATGCAGCAACATGCTACCACCTACCATCCGAGATACATGATCTTGTAGGGCGAGTCAGGCCCAAAAGACTGTTGGTGAAGGTCACTGCCCATCAGCTTGATGTAGCCACCTCCGCAAAATGATAGATCCTCATTCCTCAGCGCAGTACATCGCAGTATGGCATGCACTGCTTGCAAAGCACGAGGCAGCAATTCGAGCGAAGCATCTCATGTTTGACCGTGAACTGCAGCACCAGATCGCGGCCTCGCAAAACAGCCCACGAGCCCACAAGACAGAGCTGATGCACTTCAACCTTCCACCCAAGTACAACACCCAGACTTGCAGCTTTCGGGAAAGCCTCAAGTTTCACATTCCTCGAATCTCAATAACTAACTTGAGCTTTATCTAAGTAAGTGAACTTGTTCTAAACTGGCGTCTTGCATGTAGTTGCCAAAAAATACTACACGACTCCACAGCACTCTGACTTGCTGGTCCCTCCTCGGTTGGAGAAATTTTGAGACAGCTTCGCAGAGATGGCATGATGCTGGAGGGCGGCTGCTGTCCTCAAGCCTCCCGGACGCTCAATCACTGCCCCCTCCAACCCCTGCACTGTCATTGCGCGAGTCGCAAGAAGACTGAAATAAACACCTTCTGGCTGAGGCTATGGTGTGGTCGATGCAGCACCTCGCTGCTCGGACTCGTTGGCAAACCATTGCCCGGCCGACCACTCGAATGGCGCCACGCCTCTCTAAAGGGGCAAAAATAAAACAGGATGTTCGTCAGTCCCTAGCCCTCCCGACTCTGCATCCCAAGAATTCCCCACAGTCATTTCGAAAGCGTCATAGACCGACGTCGCACTTGGTCAAGCTTGCTCTGCTGGCCGATACTGGTACCATCCTACCCGCGTCCATCTAGTCCGAGGAGCCCGGCCCTATCCTGAGGACCTGTGTGAAAAAAGCGTCCTGCCTGTCTGCTCAGAATGGACCCACCGTGACTCCCAGGACTCGTTCAGGAACTTTTCGTGGAAGTATACCTTCGGGGTGGCGCGGGTCGCCGAACACTGCATGGAACCGCCAACTGTTATTGAATGCGCAGCCATGCATCAAGTATTCAGCTGCAGAGGCTCTACTAAGGTCAATCAAAAAACATAAGAACACTGATATAAAAAAACATCTATGCGCAAGACAAGTGGAATCTTGATACCAGCACCGCCTGCTATCACCACTACCACCACCAGTACCAGTATCACTAAAAGCACCACCAGCACTACACTACTACCACTACTACCACTACTACCACTACTACCACTACTACTACTACTACTACTACTACTACTACTACTACGATGGCTACTACTACGGCTACTACTACGACGACGACTACTACAACTACCACCCTACCCCTACAAACACTACCACTGCTACCACTCCTGCTACCACTACTACCACTATGCCGCCACCACCACCACCGCCACTACCACCACCACCACTACCACTCCACTACCACTACCACAATACTGCTGCTGCTGCTGCTACTACTACTACTCCTACTCCTACTCCTAACTACTCCTACTCCTACTCCTACTCCTA